CCCCCCCCAACCAGTAGTGTTGTTGCGTTTTCACTCATACAGACCTGTAGGAAATATTATAATATTAGTTATAGAGCTCCTTCTCTTGCCACAACTTGTGCATACGAAAGTAACGGAGATTTAGAAAGTGAAATTCTGGACTACGCTGTCGTTTTATCAGTTTGTAATGTTCTTGTCCAAAATGTTCTTTTTAGTCCATGTACTAGACGTCGATTTTGAAAAGTTTATAAATCTAGCCAGACGGTTGAGCTCTCCCTTGACTAAGCAGGGAATTCTGTCAGTGGTAACTCACCGAGAAGGCGTGCATTCTGGTAATTTGACAACTCCTGAAGACTCGCGCTCTTTGGGGTACTTAAAAGAAAAGACGGACAACTTCGTTAGTCACACAAAAGTTTCAGTTGTTTTCTTATCTCAAAGATTTAAAGGCAGGCAAGAAAATGCACAATACATTAACGTGTATTTTGAAATATGAAAACTCTTTGTTTCTGATCAGTGTAATATGGCAATTTGAAATGTGCCACAATGTTGCCTTTGGTGTGCCGCTGATAGGACATAACGACATGTCGTATGTGTACTCTACGTCCTTAAAGAATATACACATTTATTGTAATGATTTTGCCTTCAGCAGTCCGACCTTTTGGGGTGCAGTTACCAAGAAGCTTTGCCTTTACTCTGAAATCGGGACTTTTAATTCTTTATGAAAATGTTTGAAAAAGGTTCTTACTTTTCCGATTTTTTTTCTTCTTCCGATTAGGCCAGATACTGACAAGAAGTGACACAAAATAACATTGTACTGAATGGGTGTGTATCGAGCCTTCTAGAAGGGTGTGAGTCAAGACAACCACCCTTTGTCGTTGAGCAAAATAGATATCTTACACAGGAAAAACGTTTTAAAAGCGTGGGGGGGGGGGGGTTAGCGCAATGTAAATGAAAGAAAAACATATTTTCCCCTAATGTAATTACTTAAGGTCTCCATGTAATCTCCTTTATCTTTTTTGAGTAAATATTCCAATTAATTGATTTTTTTAAAAAGAAGAAGATAACAACTTTATGTATGTACTTGAATAGAATCCGGAGTTGTGTAATGTTTTCTCGTGAGAGGTGACGGGCGTCAGGCTATGCTATCCTCCATCGTGAGCTCAAGATGAACTGCGGGTTTGCGTGAGTAGGGCGCGTTTACTTATGAATTTTTAATAACGTTTCTCCGTCTTTCTTCGAGGATGCTAGCTTTATTTTACTCGCTGCTCAAGACTGTTCGCCTGCCATATTATCATCTAAAGTGTGTTAGTGGGGACACAAAACGTGCTGCAAACAACTATAATTGTAAATGTTTTTACTGTCTTATAGTGCTGTAAGTTCTGAGACAAAAAGGGTCCAGTTTTAACATTGTACCAGGGATTAGTTCATCCGACTGTATCAGTTGTGCGCTTGGACTTTTTACCACGAACTCTCTGTAGTGGAGACAACTATTCCTAGGCACTCATCTCGCCATGAAGGGAAACTCTAGGTATACCAAAAAGAGGTGAGTACTTAGCATTTTGGAAAGTTTGACGGTGTCCATCAGTTGCTTTTATTCTATTTATTTATTTATTTATTTTTTAGGGA